TGATGTGACATCAAAAGAGACCATTGTTTCATCAGTCTCCATGATGGCATCCCTCACCTTAACCACAAAGTCCATGGTGTTCTATATGTGGTGTTCTGAGCTGCCAACTAATGCGATGAGTACAGACGCCAGATATTTGGAAACATTGTAAGTGACAGAGTTAATCATGCTAACAATTGGTCTTAAAGGTACACCTTGTTGGTGGATTTTAGGTAAACCATACAAACTAGGTGTGGCCTCCCCTGGGTACAGTCTGTGGTACAGAATACGGTCAATAGCCTTGTCCTGCTCCAAAATTTTCAGGCAATCTATCAACTTCTTCTTGTAACCACTTCCTGAATCTCTTTTCAGCGGTTCTTAAGTGGTTAAGTCACTAAGGAGTGTCATAACTTTCTCATTATAGTCTTTCTGGTTCAAAATCACTGTGCATCTTCCTTTGTCTTTTGTTGACTGCAGGCACAATTTCAAGAGTTGACACAGTTGTTCTGGGATGAAGATGTTCACATCCTGGAAAGAGAGGAACAATGGTTTGAGAGAGGAGTAAAGGAGGCCAAGGAGGTGCAGAAGTCTGCATCAACTCTAACCTTATTGAATCCAGTGACCTGCTGGTCGAATGTGAGGGACAATATGTCAGTGCTACCAAACATGACAACCAGGTATCTGTGTGTGCAACAATCATCATCTACAGCCTCAGAGGGAACACTTCCTACTGCTGGAGACACCATCAGCCAGGAGTGGGCTTCTTTGTGTCCAGAGAAAGCAGACATGTTGTTTCTGAATAAAAACTGTTAAGTGAAAAGGTCCTCAGTGTGTAGTAGTGAACATTTAGCGCAGTTAGCATTTCAGCGCTGCGCTGCACGGGAGCTATACATTTTTCAAACAACAAATTCAAAATCTAATGGGCCAAATTAATTTAGCTGATTATCGACACGCTTTCGTTGCTCGGGGGTGATGCGGTGTCGTGTCGTTGGCTCTGAGGACTGTTGAAGCCGTGAGGCCGATCTTCTGGCGTCGGGTCTGTGGGCGGTGGCTGCTGGTTGACGGTCTGCCTTCGAGGGCCTGGTGGACCTGGGTGCTGTGTCGGCTTTTGGCTGTCGAGTCTGGGGCTGCTGCTGTTGTGAGGAAGTGCGGCGGTGTGGGAGACTGTCGCCGTTGGATCCACGGTCCTGTTCGGAGCCGAGTTACCGTCGTGGATCTTGGGAGAGTCTGGGGCTGCGGTGTCTGATTTCCTGGAGTCGGACGTCCGGAGGCCGCTGGGCTGCGGAGGAAATCGATGTGCTGGTTGGATCCGTGATCTGACATTGGCTCTTGGCTAATGACTTGATAAACCACGGCCATCGGGCAGGTGGTTTTGTGAGTAATGGCAAAATCCAAACTAAGAAAACATGATTTGACTGAACAAAACTCTGATGATATGGAAGAAATACGGAAATCTCTGAACTTTATGAGTTCAGAACTTGTGAAACTAACATCACAACAGGAACTCTTGATGGGTTTGTTTGAAGAAGTCAAACAATTGAAATTACAAATAAATCTCAAAGATAAAAAAAATAGTGGAACTCGAACAAAGGATTGACGACTTGGAACAGAACTCTAGACAAGATAACCTCGTTATAAGTGGACTGGAGATTAAAAATCGTTCATATGCAAAAGTCGCTGCTGGTGAAGGAATTACTGAAGATGCAACTCCAATGGAACAGATGACGTTAGAACAGGTGGTCTCCTTTTTACAAGACAGGGAGATTGATATAAATCATGAAGATATTTCTTTGTGTCACACCTTACCCAGCAAATCTGAAAAATCTAAACCGGTTGTTGTTGTAAAATTCATTAGCAGGAAATCAAGAAATAGTGTAATCATGCAAGCAAAAAAACTAAAGGGAACAAAAGTTTACATAAACAAACATTTAACAAAAAGAAATGGAAATATTGCCCGTGAAGCTAGGTTTTTAAAAAAACAAAAAAAAAATAGTTGCGACATGGACAAGAAATGGAAAAATCTGGATTAAATCACAAGAAGGATCGCAAGCAAAACTAATAAAAGAACTGAAGGATTTGGAAAAATTTAGATGAGTCTAGAAGATGACTAATTATAGGTCTTCTAAGATTCTCCACATTAAAGTAGATAAAGTGAATAACCTGATGAACAAATACCTCTCTCACCAGTTTACTCTGGATGGACATTGGGGTAGACGTTGAGTTGGAGGATGAACTCTGGCTCGTCCCAGTACCCTACTCGCATCACTGCCATAAGAATGGCAGAAGACATAACCGGAACCTGTCTGCTACTCTTCCACCGGCACTACTTGCATGTCCACCTCTTTGTGCTTGGCCCGGCGAGGCTGAGTCTCTTGGAACCTGTCCCAGTGCTTCAGTGAGGGCTGATTTGGACGCCTCACCTTCCATGGTCCCGGTGAGGTCTGGATCCGGCACCTCACCCTCACTCAGATATCCTAAAGAGACTAGTTCTGCTTTCTCCTTGTCCCAGCCTCCACCCTGCTCTCCTCAGGCACAACCTGTGAAACGGGGGATAATTTTGCAGGGGAAAGAGCAGTCATTCCCCCATTCATCTATGGAGCAGGCGAAGTGGGGACAACCCAGAGAGCACCTCGGGCATCCATCTCCTGCTCCAGTGGAGTGTAACCAGATCCCAAAGCTGCCTCCACTAGAGGACCAGGGAACCCATCATCTCATCCGGGCTATGATAATGATTCTTTGAGCCAAGCCCAGAGATAAAATTAAAAAAAGAAAGTTTCTAGTTAATGACCTCTTAAGGACCTTCACTTCCCAGCTTGATCTGCTTAGTACACCAGCCCATCAGGTGATCTTTGACTTTGCCAGGAAATTAAAAACAGAGCTTGATCCATTTGATGTCCCTGTGCATGTTGACACTGCTGTAGTGTCTGGGAGACTCACGTGGGTGGGTGGGGGGGGGGGGGGGTTGTGTACTTGAGCCCCCACCCACCTGTGGGATTAATGGGCTCTGTGCCTGCAAGAGGTCCTGAGCCTACAGGAGGTCCTGAGCCTGCAGGATTGTTAAGGGTATTTAAGAGTTTAAATTGGTATACTCAGATTGTGTTATGTGTTGTATATATTTGTGTTTTCACCACAGTGTGGTGGCATAGAGCTCTTCTGTAATGAAGCACGTCACCACACACCTGTATCATATGATATAAATTGCCTCCAGAAAATGTTTTTATCACTTGATGAGCTTCTTGATGGGCTACGAGTCTCTGCTACTGCTTGTGTACGTGTGTGCTCTCACGATACTTGTAGGCCTCAGAAGCCACCATTTGTGTCACTGAAAATAAAGTTGCTAAAAGGAGAAACTCCTCTCTACTGCTTCCTGCCTCATAGTCGATGCTGAAGATGCTGCAATACTCAACAGGTTATGGGCCCAGTCGAGGACCAGGCAAGACCCAGTCAAAAGCAAGAACCAAGCCCAGTCAAAGCCCAGGCCAGTCAAGGACCAGTCAAAAGTAAAGGACCAGAACCAGTCCAGGACTAGTCCAAGAGCAACTCGATGAAGAAGTTTCTTCTGAGAGAGGACGCAGAGAGGACGCTGGCGCTGCATGTTCGCCGCTTCTCCGCGCTAAAAAGTCATTATACTGTTGCTATATTTGTGGACATTTATCTGGACTTATTTTTGTTCAGTAATTTCTCAATCAGTACTTATAACAGACAGCTTATTAGCACTCCCTAACAGGAATTTGGGACTATTGCTGTCAAACATACAACTCCAGCACGGCGGCTCGGACTTTGCTTGAAGAACTAGCAACTATTGCGCTCACCTTGCTGCTTCTGTCAACCTCCTGTGTCATCTGGATTGTTCCAGTTTGTCATCTTTTCCTGGATTTTTTTCCTGTGCTATGCTGTGGATTACATCGCACTGCCTTTTGGATATCCTTTTCGGAGCTGTGGGTCTGCTGTTAGCGGCTAGCTCTGTGCTAGCTTCCCCCGGCTTGGCTGGCTCGTCGATGTTGACCTACTCCGCCTCCCAGCTGATTGGACTCAACAACTGCTCCATCCCTTCTTCTGTTTCTACCATTAAACAACTGGGCCTTCTGCGTAGACCTCGTTATGTCCATAGAGGCTCTCGGAAGAGAACTGTTTACTCTCGGCAAGCTGGGTCTGACTCCATCCCTTCCATCTGGTCTACCGGTCCTGCCGCACATCGATTACGTCATCAGAACGCTGCCTCTGTAGTCCCTGATATTGCTGAAAGAACACAGCGCACGAAGTGGCAAGGAAAACGTGGAGTGGACTTCAGGCTGCTTAAACCCCTTCTAAAGGCTTCTACTCCAACCATTATTAAAATAGAACTTTTCAATGTTCAATCGCTATCCAATAAATCATGTCTTATTCATGATCATATTCTGGAGAAGAATTTGGACCTCTTGTGCCTTACTGAAACATGGCATCAACCAGATGTGTACAGCTCTCTGAATGAAGCCTGTCCCTCTGGATACAGTTACCTGCAGAAAGCCCGCTGCACTGGCCGTGGTGGTGGTCTGGCTGTAATTTACCGCAGTAATTTAAAATGATCACATTTAGCTTCTCGGGACTTCTTGTCTTTTGAATGTTTGGCCTTCAACCTCAAAGCCCCCCTCCTGATGAATGTTATATTGATTTATCGGCCTCCCAAACCACATGTTTCATTTAACTCAGAGATGCATGACCTCCTCACTTTTTTCTGCGCATCTCCTGTGAAAAATATTATTCTTGGAGATTTAAATATCCACATTGATAATTCCTCTTCCCCTCTGGCAGCAGAGTTTAAGTCCCTTTTGGATTCTCTCAATCTCACTCAGTATGTTGACGCCCCTACGCACAACAGGGAGCACACTCTGGATTTGGTGATTACAGACACTGTACCTATCAATAACTTATCTGTATATGACCTGGGTGTCTCAGACCACAGTGTCATCTCCCTGGAAGTGCCTTCAACTTCATCTGCTCCTAATCCTAAACAACTTATCCAGTTCCGTGACTTTAAAAACATTTCCCCTGAGGTTCTGTCCTCTGATCTCCACTCCCTGACCGCTGTCAATCATTCATCTGCAAATGACTCTGTGGATTACTACAACCAATCTCTCCAGGAGCTTCTGGACCTCCATGCTCCCTTTAAAGCAAGGCTGGTGTCTTTCTCCCGTTCAGCCCCTTGGTACACTGCTGAGCTGCGCAAGATGAAAGCAGCTGGCCGTGCTATTGAGAGACGTGTAAAATCATCTGGTCTCTCTGTACATCAGCAGGCATATAAAGAACATCAGAAAGCCTACGCCTTTTCTCTTAAAGAAGCACGGTCCAAATATTATTCCAACATCATCAACAACTGCCCTGGAAACTCTAAACAACTCTTCTCCACAATAAATCATCTCCTTAATCCCATTAAACAATCTCATGAGGACTCTGTTCAAAAATGCAACCTGTTCCTTTCATTTTTTAAAAACAAAGTTAACTCCATTAGATCTCAGCTCCATAGCCTCCCTGATCTTCATCTGCCATCTACCTGTCTGCATTCTGGGTCCCTGAGCTGCTTTGATGAGGTTGTTCTGAGTGAAGTGGAGACCATCATCAAGAAAATGAAGCCTTCATCCTGCGCCCTGGATCCTTTCCCCTCGTCTCTCATTAAATCCAATCACTCTGCAATAAGCCCATTAATCACACAAATAATAAATAAGTCACTGCAATCTGGTCAAGTTCCACTGCCTCTTAAAACTGCCATCATTAGGCCTCTTCTGAAAAAATCTAATTTGGATCCAGACATTCTTTCTAATTACCGCCCAATTTCTCACCTCCCATTTCTGTCAAAAGTGCTGGAAAAAGCAGTTGCTGCTCAGCTGCAGATCCACCTACAACAACACTCCCTGTATGAGAAGTTTCAGTCTGGCTTCCGTGCAGCTCACAGTACTGAGACCGCACTGCTGAGAGTCACCAATGATGTCCTCATGGCTGCTGACACTGGTTCCCCCTCCCTTCTTGTTCTCCTTGACCTCACTGCAGCTTTCGACACTATGGACCATAGTATCCTCCTCCACCGTCTTCATGTGGAGGTCGGTCTCTGTGACACTGTCCTGGACTGGTTTAAATCTTTCCTCTCCAATAGGCTGGAATGTGTTAGTCTTGGCAATGCCAAGTCCCAGACTGTCTGTGTCTCCTGTGGTGTCCCTCAAGGGTCAGTTTTAGGGCCCCTGCTATTTTCCCTTTACATGTTGCCTTTAGGTCAAATTATTAATCAGTACAACATTTCTTTTCACTGTTATGCCGACGATACACAGCTTTACATCAGGACCGGAGCATCATCTTCACCACTGTCATCTCCATCTTCACTCGCTGCCCTCTCTACCTGCCTGGAGGAGATAAGGGCATGGATGAATCAGAACTTTCTTCAGTTAAACTGCTCCAAAACAGAGGCCATACTGATTGGCACCCCTCACCAGGTTCAAACTTCAACTATAACGACTATTTCATTTTCCGGACAAGACATCCCCCTCTCCACCACCTCTGTTACAAATCTTGGAATAAAAATGGACTCTCATCTTACATTTGAAAATCACATTAAGCATCTGTACTTGCCCCCACCCTCATTCGCCCCACTCTGGGCCCATGAGCAAGGCCCTTAACCCCCACCATGTGCTCCCTAAACAGGTCTCTCTTGAAAATGAGTTCTCGTGGCTCAATGAGACTAACCTGGATAAATAAAGGCTAAATGAAAAAAAAACAAAAAACATTAAGCATCTGTTTAAAACCTGTTTCTTCCATCTTCGAAATATCTCCAAACTGCGCCCATCTCTCACTTTTGCTGATGCAGAGAAACTCGTCCATGCTTTTGTCTCCTCCAGGCTCGACTACTGCAACTCCCTGTTTACTGGAATACCCGGCAAAAACCTTCAGAAGCTTCAATATATTCAAAACAGTGCAGCCAGGATTTTATTGAGAGCTCGTAAATTTGAACATATTACACCCATTCTCCATAACCTCCATTGGCTTCCTGTCACCTACAGAATTCAGTACAAAATTGCTCTCATTACCCATCAGTGTTTATATGGAAATTCACCAGATTATCTGAAGGACCTTCTTGCTCCATATTCATCCACCCAGTCCCTACGATCACAGAACAGTCATGTCCTCCACCTGCCACGAACTAAATTAAGAACCATGGGAGATCGGGCATTCTGTGTGGCTGCCCCCCGCCTCTGGAACTCCCTCCCTGAATATCTGAGAGCTCCACAATCATTGACTGACTTTAAAAAAGGCTTAAAGACTTTTCTTTTTAAGCAAGCCTATTCTGCCTCCACATGATTGTATCATTGATTTTAGTTGTTTGTATCATTGATTTTAGTTGATTTTATCACAGATTTTAGTTGATTTTATCACAGATTTTAGTTGATTGTATCATTGATTTTAGTTGATTTTATCACAGATTTTAGTTGATTTTATCATTGATTTTAGTTGCACTCTGTAGCACTTTGAGATTTTTGTTAATGAAAAGTGCGTTACAAATTAAATTCATTATTATTATTATTATTTATTATTCATGCGAAACAAGTAGAGCTGCAAGCTAAAAAGCTAATGATAGCTTCATGGAACCACGAGGAGCAAGCAGGCTGCCTCTGCTTTTCTTTGACGGAAATGAGACCAAATATGAACTTTGGGAAACTAAAGTGCTGGGATATTTGCACCTAGCAGGATTAAATGAGACAGTTTTGAGAGAACCAAGCAGCGAGACAGAAGTAGTAGCAGATGGTAAGAAGAATGGTAAAAGGAGAAATGCCTCTACTGCTTACTGCCTCGTAATCGATGCTGAAGACGCTACAATACTCAGCAAGGGTATCCCACGCCTCAGCCTGAGGGTCCCGAGTCTGCAGAGGGTTCCACGCCTCAGCCTGAGTGCCCTGAATCTGCAGAGTTCCACGTTCCTGAGTCTCGCGTCTGTTCATGAGAGTTCCACATTCCAGAGTTCCACATCTGTCCCTAAGAGTTCCATCTCCTGCTGAGTCTGTCGCAGAAGATTCTGATCCTGCCACAGAAGAACCTGATCCTGCCACAGAAGAACCTGATCTTGTCGCAGAAAAACCTGGTCCTGCTGGTCTACTACAGTATCTGAAGTGCTGACACTCCCTGCTACAGCACCAGAGTCCCCTCCATAATCTACAAACTCCTTGGTCTTGGTGACGTATGAAGTCTCCCTGGGCTCATCATTGTCTACAGCATCATTTTACTTCATGACTGCTGCAGAACAAGTGGTTCTTCTGCTCCTTGCTCCCCATGCTGGGCGCTCATAGGTTCTTAGGGTGTCTGTCACCATCAGTCAGCAACCTGCACTTTGGCACTGTGCTAGACAGCCTCCACCTCTGCCCACCTGACTTGCTCCGGCCCGTTGAATTGCGTCCTGACCGCCCACCTGAACTTTGGTCATGTGCCGGACGGCCTCCTCGCTGCTCAACTGACCTGCTCCTGCCCGTTGGACGGCCCACCTGCCACCCACCTGAACTTTTGCCCAGTGCTAGATGGTCTCCTGGCCGCCGACCCTGACGTCTGACCAGCCTTGAGATGGTCTCTTGGCCATCTGAACATTTTTTGTGTTCCCCGTGTGTTTAGTTTAGATCCCAGGCTTTGATCCTGTCAGTTTTTGGTATGGTCCTCGTGTTTTCCTCGTGCCCTCCACCCTTGCCGTTCCTCCCTCCACCCGCCCTAGTGTTTTGGGGTGGGTTTCCTAGGGATGCCAGGGGGCATCCTTGGGGGGAGGGTACTGTAAGTATGGCACCCACTGGTGGGCCATCCTTGTCTGTACTCCTTAATGTCTCGCTTTAATTATCAAACATCAGTTTCACCCTTGTCTCGTGTCCAGCTGTGTGTAATTATGCCCCGTCCTGTCTGTGTATTTGTCTGTTTGTTAGTCCTGTTATTTGTCGGTTAGTAGATTGGGTACAGCCTCGTCTTGTCCTGTCCTGATCTGTCCTGGTCCCAGCCTGTTCCTAGTTCTCCCATCATTTAAATTTGCTGCCACGTAGCCTCTGTACTTTGTTATTAAAAGTATTTTATTTTATGTTCTGCCTCCCAAGTTCTGCCTGCACCACTGGATTATTTCCTGCTCAGCCAGAAACCCCTGAAAAATGCTTTAACTCAGCCATGTATACACATACAGAGCTGAATTTTTTTCAGGTTATAGCTGAGAACATTCCTTATCACACACTGCATCCAAATCAAAAATCCAAGATGACTGCCTTAGCTAAAAAGGAAAAAAATATGACAACTCAGGCATTTGTAGAGCAGTTCAGCTGAAATTTGGTATAGTGGTATCTGAGAGCAAACCCAAACACATAGTACTGTCAGATCAACAGTTTATATCAGCAGCAGACTAGTAGTCCATTACATTAGGAACAATTGTGCACGTTCTGCTTCTGTCTGATATTTGAAACTTATTTCTGCTACTTTAAGCTACTTTTCAACTGTTTTCTGACATTCTTAAGCAATAAGCATTCACACTTGCATTTTCGCATGAAATGCAAATTCTCTAGTTTCTATCATCCATCCATTATTTTCCGCTTATTCCAAAGTCGGTTTGCTGGTGCAGCAGATTGAGCAGGGAGACCCAGGCATCTCTTTCCATATCCACCTCTTCCAGCTCCTCTGGGAGGATTCCAAGGCGTTCCCAGGCCAACTAAGAGACATAGTCTCTCCAGCATGTCTTGGGTCTTCCCCGGGGTCTCCACTCAGTTGGACAAGCCCAAAGCACCTCCCTAGGGGAGTGCCATGGGGCCATCCTTACCAGATGCCTGAACCACCTCAACCGGATCTTATCGACATGGAGGAGTAGCGGTTCTACTCCAAACCTCGCCCGGATAACTGAACTTCTCACCCTTTCCCTAAGGGAGAGTCCAGCTACCCTATGGAGAAAACTCATTTCAACCGCCTGTATCTGCGATCTCATTCTTTCGGTCACTACCCAGAGCTCATGACCATAGGTGAGGGTAGGAGCGTAGACCAACCGGTAAACAGAGAGCTTTGCCTTATAGCTCAGCAGCTCTCTCTTTACCACAGAGGACCAGTACAGAGTCCACAATACTGCAGATGCTTCACCAATCCATCTGTCAATCTCACACTCCATTCTTCCCTCACTCGTGAACAAACCCTGAGATACTTGAACTCATCCACTTGAGGCAGAACCTCACCCTCGACCTAAAGAGAGCAATACACCATTTTCTGGTTGAGATCTATGGCCTCAGATTTGGAGGTGCTGATTCTCATCCCAGCCGCTTTACACTCGGCTGCAAACCAATCCAGTGAGAGCTGAAGATCACGGCACAATGACACCAACAGGACCACATCATCTGCAAAGAGCATAGATGGAATCCTGAGGCCACCGAACCGGAAACCCTCCACCAGCTGGTTGCATCAAGAAATTCTATCCATAAAAGTTATGAACAGAATTGAGGGACGTGGTCGAATGCCTTCTCCAAGTCCTCAAAACACATGTAGACTGGACGGGCAAACGCCAATGACCCCTCAAGGACCCTAGTGAAGGTAAATATCTTATCCAGTGTTCCATGGCCAGGACGGAACCCACACTGTCCCTCCTGGATCTGAGGTTTGACCAATGATTGGACTCACTTCTCCAGTACCCCTGAAATTGACCCTACCAGGGAGGCTAAGGAGAGTGATGCCCCTATAATTGGAACACAGAGTTGGTCCCCCTTTTTGAAGAGGGGAACAACCACCCCAGTCTGCCAATCTAGTGGCACTGCCCACAATGTCCATGCAACGTTACAAAGGCTTGTCAGCCAAGATAGCCTCACAACATCCAGAGCCTTAAGGAAATCAGGGTGAATCTCATCCACTCCTGGCGCCCTGCTGCCTCGGAGCTTTTTAACTACCTCGGCAACCTCAGCCATGGTTATGGACAGATCAACCCCACAATCCCCTGACTCAGCTTCTTCCATGTACGGCGTGCTGGTGGGATTGAGAAGGTCCGTAAAGTAATCCTTCCACCTCCCGACGAAATCGTTGGTTGAAGTCAACAGTACCCCACTTTCACTGAACACAGTGTTAGTAAAGTACTGCTTTCCCCTCCTAAGCCGCCTGATGGTTTGCCAGAATCTCCTCGGAGAGGACCGAGTCTCTCTATCCAAGGTTTCACCAAACTCTTCCCACATCTGAGCTTTTGTCTCAGCAACAGCCAAGGCTGCAGACTGCTTGGCCCTCCCGTACTCCTCAGTTGCCTCCAGAGTCCCATTGGCCAACAAGGCCCGATAGGACTCCTTCAACTTGACAGCCTCCCTAACCCGAGGTGTCCCCCACATGTTTGTGGATGGCCACTGCCAGAAGCACCGACAACCTTGCGGCCACAGCTCAAGGCAGCTACTTCAACAAGCGAGGTGCGGAACATGGCCCGCTGGGACTCAATGTCCCCCACTAGAGCAGGAATGTGGTTAAAACTTTCCCAGAAGTGTGAGTTAAGATCTCTCTGATGTGTTCTTCTGCCAAGCATTCCCAGCAAACCCTCACTACATGTTTGGGTCTACCGGGTCTGTCCAGTATCTTCCCCCACCATCTGATCCAACTCACTACCAGATGGTGATCAGTTGACAGCTCAGCTCCTCTCTTCACCCGAGTGTCCAAAACAAATGGCCGCAAATCAGACGACATGACTATGAAGTCAATCATCGATCTACGAACTAGGGCGTCCTAGTGCCATGTGCATTTAAGGACACCCTTATGTTTGAACATGGTGTTCATGATAGACAAACTATGACTAACACAGAAGTCCAACAACAGAACACCGCTCGGGTTCAGATCAGAGAGGTCATTCCTCCTGGTCACACTGTCATTACTCATGTGGGCATTGAAGTCCCCCAGCAGAATAAAGGAGTCCCCAGCTGGTGCACCTTCTAGCACCCCTGCCTAGGACTCCAAGAAGGCCAGATACTCTGAACTGCAGTTTGGCGCATAGGCACAAACAACAGTCAGAGTGCGTCCCCCCCACCCGAAGGCGAAGGGGAGCCACCCTCTCATCTACTGGGGAAAACGCCACCACACAGGCATCAAGTCGGGGGGCTACAAGTAGACCCACACCAGCTCAACGCCTCTCACCATGGGCAACTCCAGAGTGGAATAAGGTCCAGCCCCTCTCAAGGAGATCAGTTCCAGAGCCCATGCTGTGCATCGAGGTGAGCCCAACTATATCTAGTCGGTACCTCTCAACCTCGTGCACAAGCTCAGGCTCCTTCCCAGGCTATACAGCACCTCAGACTGAGGAAGTTTCTCGGATGAGAGACGAAACGTTTCTACATTTTTTTGTTGTTTTGCTTTGTTTTGTTTTTTTGAATGTCCAGAGGACTAGATTTAACTAATTTAGATGTTTCTACCTGGTTTATTGAGCATGCATCAGGATACTGTACATAACTGTTCCACTGAGGAGTTTTAAAAGTTTTATTAATAAAAGTAAATTGAAATTGAACAGATTGATGTGAAGTTCCATGTCTGTTAATTGCAGAGTTACATTGGAGCAAGATGGCCATCTTAGCTAAAAAGGAAAAAAAATATGATATCTCAGCCATTTTTAATGCTATTCAGCTTAAACTTGGCGTAGCTGAGAATGATCTTTAATAGACTCTGACTGAAAATCAAAAATCCAAGATGGCTGCCTTAGCTAAAAAGGAAAAAATATGATAACTCTGGCATTTTTAGAGCTATTCAGCAGCAGCTTGGTATAGTGGTAGTTGAGAGCATACCCAAACACAAAGTACTGTCAAATAAACAATTTAAATTGGCAGCAGCCTGGCAGTTCCCATCAACATTTCTCCAGAAACTTTCTAGTCTTAAAATAACTATTTGCATTTGATAGTATTCAGCTAATTTCCTCTGCCCTGCAGCACCTTTTTTAAGTTTGTTCATGACAGGCATAAGACTTTTATTACCATTTTTATTTCATTCCATTCCATAAAATCCTCCCATCCTATCCTAATCCCATTCCATCCTATCCTGCCCTGCACCCACACCTACCCGGTTACTGCACCACTCCACTCACTGTACGGGAGCATGATGTTAGACGTTCCCTCCAATCAGTGAACTCCAGGAAAGCTACTGGCCCAGATGGAGTACCTGGCAGGGTGCTCAAAGCATGTGCCCTCCATGCTACGGGGAGAATCATCCATCTCCGTGGCTGGTGGGGTCCTGGGCCCTAATTTTAATATACAACCTAGACACTCACTTATAACACTCTCACAACACATGCATATATAGGATCTGGAGTGGGCACATGATCGCACTTAGGTGGTGGGATGTACTACCATTTCCACCTCCCCGGACCTGTGCCCACTCTCATATGTAGCATGTAGACATTTAGGGTTCTGGGCGGAGATGAGGGGTGAACGGGCGCCGCCTGCTCTCTGGGCAAGAGGTGGGTCTGTGCCGGTCGCCACCTCATCCCCCCATTTTAAACGCACTGTATAACAACATGCATCAACACCATATTCGAGTGGGAGGAGGAGGAAGTGGGTCTGTTCATAATTTATTTATGCATATATAGATTTATTTATTTATTTATTTATTTTTTCCCCTTTCACAAACACCTCCTTTCTCCGTGTGACACGGGGGGTGGGGGGGGGGGGGGGGGGGGGGGCGCATTGTTGGGGTCTGGGCTGTGGGTGGGCTTTGGGCCTTGGGGGCGGTCAGTGTTGGGGCTGGTGCTTCGGTTCCTCCTGGGCTGTTCCGATTCTTTTAATCTAGGTTCCTGGTTGCGATGGCCGGCACTTTGACCGGGGTGGCTGCCGGCTTTCGGCGGGGGGTCGGCTATGGTAGTGTACGTGTGGTCATTGGTGGTGTAGGGCGGCGGTTGGGGGCGTGGCTTCGCCTCATCCGGGCACTGGCTGGTCTTCCTGTGTGGCATTTGCAGTGGGGGTGCTGTGTGTGTGGGGGGGTGCATGGGTGGCGTGCTGGTGCGTCTCCGGGCCTATGGTGCGGAGCTCTTGATGTGAGAGCCGGCCCTCCTCAGCTGCGGCTCCCTGCTGCTCTGCCCCTTGGGCTGGGGCCGGCCTGTGGTCGCTGTCAGGTAGATGGTGCATGCGGTCGGCCCGACAGAGATTCTGTCGGGCTATCTGTGTGTGCCTGTTGGTTGCTCAGGTTGGGTTTTTGGTGGTCCCCCCTCACTTGGATCAATTTGGGCACCAAGTTTGGTGTGGGGCCCACTCCCCCCAGTCGTGCCCCCCTTTGGCGGGGGACCCCCTTGCCGCCGGTGCATTGGTGGCTCTCGGTGTCTGGGCTGGGTGGTGGGGTGCATGTCGGTCCGCCCTGGTTGCTGCCTGGCGGGGCCTGGGTGCCCTGGCTCTGTCGGGGCTCTGCTGGGGGGTGGTATGGCCTCGGGGCTTGGGGCTCGGTGTCCATGGCCGGATCTACTTGGGGGGGGCATGGGTCGCTGGCCGGGCCTGTGGGCTCGTCGCTGCAGCTTCCTGGAGGCTCTGCATTGTGGTGGCTGGGGTCACCCGGTTCTTTCCTCTGCTCCTCTCTGGGGGGGTGCGGTTCTCCCTGTTGGGAGACTCTTGGGGCTCCGGGCCTGTGGGCCGCTGTGTGTCTGTGGCTCCGGTCCTCCCTATGTTGCCATTGTGTCCTGGGGGGGCGGGTCTGTGGGCCCCCGCATCCACTATTGGGCATTCTTTTGGAGAAATCTGGTGGTGGCGGGCGTGCTTGCGCGGGTGTTTGAATTCAGGTGCTTTGACAGATGCACGCTAGGTTGGGTAGTGGTGGAAGCTAGATGATTCCTTGTGCGATGTCGAATGTTTCATGGTGATATTGTGGGTGGCATTGTGCTGTGCATGTTGTTTGGTGGTCTCTCGTCTTATCTTCTTCTCTTTTATTATTCATTTATTCTTCTTTCTTCTCTTTCTTTAAAAAAAAATAAAATTGAGCGATGATGATAAGTTCATTGAAACACTTCACAATGTTTCTACACTTAAAATGAGCTCACAATATAAAGGAAAAAAAAAAGCATGTGCCCTCCAGCTCGCCCCCACTTTCACCAGAATTTTCAATCTCTCCCTGGCCCAGGCAGTCATCCCTCCATGCTTAAAATCTGCAACCATCATCCCAGTGCCGAAAACGCCTACTATCACCAGCCTGAATGATTACCGACCGGTGGCTCTCACCCCAGTAATCAAGAAGTGCTTCGAGAGACTGGTTCTCCAGCACATCATGGACTATCTCCCTCCGAACTTTGACTCCTACCAGTTTGCATATCGCACCAACAGGTCCACAGAGGATGCTATTGCAGTAGCCCTCCACACCGCGCTGAGCCACCTGGAACAACAGCACAGTTACGTTTGAATGCTCTTTGTGGATTACAGCTCGGCCTTTAACACAATCATTCCGGACATTCTTATAAATACATTGGACAATCTCGGCCTCCCCCCACTCACATGTGCCTGGATAAAAGACTTCCTAACCAATCGGCCCCAATTTGTAAGACTTGGTCCCCACCTCTCCTCCACTCGTACGCTGAGCACTGGCTCCCCACAGGGCTGTGTGCTGAGCCACCTGCTGTACTGTCTCTACACCCATGACTGCAGCCCGGCCCACAACAACAACCTCATCGTCAAGTTCGCTGATGACACCACAGTGGTCGGACAAATCTCTAAGGGAGATGAGACATTTTACAGACAGGAGGTCCTGGAGCTAGCAACCTGGTGCTCAGAGAAAAATCTGGCTCTGAATATCAAAAAAAACAAGGAGGTAATTATTGATTTCAGGAAGCACAGCACCAACCTAGCCCCCCTTTACAT